AGTCGGAGTTGCATTTGTTGATAATAAGATCATAAATCAAGCGCAAAGTAATATAAAACATTATGCCAAGTTCCTCTCCCCTATTGATTCATTTTACTTCTACAAAGACTAAAATGGAAACAATATCTAGCATCCAAAGTGTTGATGCTTATTTCTTTTGTAGATTTTTGCAATTGTGTTTCTTTTTCAGGATTCATACTTGTTTATGGCGTCTTGGTGCATGCCTCTAGGGATATTTTCGTATCGTAGGCATAAATGTTTTTACCAAGGGGGGGAATTTTTAATTTAGGGTTCATTGAGTTGTGTTGTCTTTTATTTAAAAAAAATCGATGTTCAATAAAGTTTGTTAAAATTGTTTTTTCAATTGTTAGTCTTAGATACATATCTTTTACATAAATAAACATAGTTAACATTAGCTGAAATGGTTAAGGTACTTATTTGACAATCAAATTCATATAATGTAGATCTAACAATCAAATTCATATATGCATCAATAGTATTCATATATGCGTCAAAGATGAAGGAATAATTTTCCCTATACAATATTTTCTTTCTATATAATATAATATATATCTAACAACGTGTATATATATAATACCTAGCTTTCACCACCTAACACATCCGATGCAGATTTATAATACCTAGCTTTCACCACCTAACACATTGCTGACTTGCGATGCAACACCTATTCTCTTGTGATAGATTGTCAAAAGGATGTCTCTAATGTAGGTGACGAGTTTCCAAATTGCGTTCATGTGGATATATGTTCCAAGTGAAATCACAAGGCGGATACAAATGTATGCTATGATGGCTATAAGGAGTAAAGCTATAATTGAATCCACAATCCACATGAGATTTGGAGGGACCAGCAACACCAAAACCAGTGAAAGAGGTGCATAAATCACCGAAAATAAAGCAATACTCACTGAGATCTTATAAAAAACAGTTGGAGAAGATAGTCGTTCCGCGTCTGAATACCTGTTTGTATAATAACACAGGATCCAATAAGTCACTGCAAAAATAGTTATTGAAGCCACTGACATGTACATAGCGAATGTATGAGTTGCAAAAGGATGTTCGTTTTGAGTTTGAATTTCAACTGAAGGAGTCCTATCAACCCTCCATATACTGTTATAAGCATCGCCATTGGCACATTATGCAACACCTTTAGACAAATAAGAAACCTAGCATATAATAAAAACAAGATCTAATAATCAGTTCATGATTTGCAATATGACAGAGCTGAGAGTACACAAACAGTTTATAATAACCAACATAGTTCAAACTTAACATTTGGTTATTAAATAAAAATTTATAACTTGGTCATTTTTTTATGCAGATAGATTGCTAAAACTAAAGCTTAAAGTCAGTGGCTCTACGAGAAAAATTAGGGTGTGCAAACACAATAACAGATCAAAAAATGATTCAATATCATAAATCAGAATATAATTACAATTTATTGTAATACGAGATTAAAATTTTAAAAATTACATGTTATTGATATTAATAAACAAGCCAAAATTCATACAGTTGTTTTACAAGGCTTTCATATTTTGAAAACCACTCTTTACGTATTTTTTGATAGAAAAAAATAATATGGAATGAAAAAAAAACCTCATAGAAAAAAAAAACAATAGTAATAAAAGATTTATTTATCTACAAAAAGTAACCTTATACAGTCTATTATAATTACAAACCAAAGCAAATTTAAAATGAACAAAGTAGAGTTTGCCGTACCAATTATAAAACAAAAAAAAATATTCATTTCTGTTTCAGCTAAAAAAAGCAATAATATTTATCTTTAGCAAACCTAAAAAAATTAACAATTTTACAAACGATCACATATAGAACTAGTTGACATATAAAAAATGAAATTTATCATGAGCAAATTCATAAAATTTATCAAGATCGACAATTTCAAAAAACTAAACAAGAAAAAATGACATAGATAACCTCTCTTGGTGAGCTGTGAAGTTGACCAGCTGTGCTAGGAGTGTTCATTGGAAACTTGTACAGAGTTCTTAGAAGGTGTACGTGTGCAGTGGGTAACAGTTTTCTTGGAGGATGATGCAGAATTGCAGATCGATATATACGTATTGTTTACGTCATTGAGGCTTCCCATATCGTATAGTGTATTATTCTGTGTATCTGTTCCATATCTTATAGTGTATAAAAGATATTTCTTAATCACAAAATACTCTCTCTCTCTCTCTCTCTCTCTCTCTCTCTCATTGATATTGTGTCTTCTCTGAGTCTTCGTCTAGGGTTTAATTTCTCTGAAGAACCGTTTGTTATTTTCTTCAGTGTCTTAGTTTTAGGTTTTATAATATAGAGTCGGGTGTAATTTCTAGTGAGGATCTGGATTGCTTTGTATTTACATGGTAATGTGTTGATTTAGTTAATAAAGTTGAAGTTCTTGAGTTTTTCACACGGAGGCTATGCATGCTATGTCTACATTTCTGTAACATAACAAACCCTAGCTAATACAGGTGTATAAAGCTATACATGTGATTTATAGTTATTTTGTAAAATAAAACTACAACCATTTCCATTTGAGAAAACAGACTTGTTGACATCGTCAAATAGAGTACACAGTTTTGTTATTCAATCCGATCGAGATTAATAAAAAAAAAATGAAACATGCAATGAAATCAACTTACCAAGATGGACATGGAGATGCAGTTTGAAGCGGTTCTGCTGGAAGTGACATGGAAATGGAAACCTCTCTGGTTAAGATTCTTCTGGTGATCCTTGGAGTATTATTGTCCATGGAGAACAGTTTTGTGGAGCTATCTTGTTTTCCGAGATGTAGGATTATAAAGAAGTAGATGACTAGATGTGGTGTTTCTAACGAATATGTGCTTGTTTGCAACGATAGTGCTATGGTACAATATTTTTCATAAATCTTGGAGGGTTTTATAACGATTTTTTTTTTTTTTTTTTTATAAACAGGGTAAAAGCCTAAAAGGAAAAGACCTTTTAAAAAATAGGTTCTTTTTTATTCTTCTTTTTTAAAAAATAGGGTATTTTTATTGGGCCCACCATTAAATTGACGTAGCTTTTTCTAATTTATATTTTAATCATTTTAACTTACAACTTTTACCCTTAAACTAATAGAATATTTTCAGTTTATACCTTTTAATTTCAAAAACTTAAATTTTTATTTTTTGACATCAATTATATATGATTAAAATTTATAGATTGCTATATATCGTTACAATTATCTCATAACACCTTCAAATTGATACTAATATCAAATATGTTACAATGAAATGAAAATAAAAGATAGATTAAACATGAAATTATAAGAAAAACCCAACATGAAATTACAAAAGAAATACAAGCAAATCAAAGAGGAAATCACAACATTGATTAAAAAACAATATAGTTCATATTTTATTGTATCTTGGTTGAAATTTTGAAAATTTTCTTCTGTTATATCCGGGTTAATGGCATGGTCCACATCAACGAGGTTCATCGGTATGACGAACATCCATCTCGTTATGAAATCGATTTGAACGCCTCCGGCCCCGACTTACAGAAAGTTTCGAGTAATCTGCTTCAATCTTCCAATCAAACTCTAACAAATAATCAACATGAGAAAGTGGTGCAAAATCATAATCATATTGTAGTTCATACGTTGCAGCAGTGTAAACTGTACCGACAATGAAAATAAGGTTATCCCTTCTAAAACGAGACAAACTGCAAGAGCATGTAAGTATGGAAATCTTTCCATCTACCACTTATCACATATGCATGTATGTTGAAAATAATGAACCGTACGTGTATTCCCTCCTTTTCCATTGATTTGAAACTTTGTGACAATTCTATAAACACTTTGATTAGTGATGATGAAAATGTGGATGAAAGTTAAAACGATTAATAATATAGACTTGAGGAGAGAATGTTGAACAATTGATAAAGAAGTATGAAATGAAAATGAATTCAGAAACTTAGATTTATAGTGTAATAGATAAAATTAAAATGATAGGATATTCTAATTAGTGAAATAAATAGTGTTTTGAAGAGGGTGTTTGGTTTTTTTTTCTTTTGTACTGAAATGACAATACAATGTTTTCTGATTACATAATTTATTTTTATATTGTTATATGTAATAATTCATATCAAAATAAATATATATGAAATATATAATCAGATTATATTGTTATAAAATAATGATTAGTTCAAAGTTAATGAATTACAAAAAAATTGCTTATGGGTATATGTTTATATGATATGGAGATAATTAGAAGTGATTTTACATATTTATTTGTCATTATTTGGGTTAAATCAAAGCTTCAGTTTTTTTTTTAAAAAAATGGTAGAAAAATAACAGTTCACGGATTGAGAAGAAGAGGCATCGGACTATCTATTTAGCATAATATTTATTTAAATATAATAAAATGCATAAAAGGTGTCAAAAATTGGGGGGTGAAAGTCTTACAGCTTACCTCATCTATATCTTTTTGAGATTCCCGTCCTTGACCCTTGTGGTTTGTATGGCTTCTTAATTTTTATTATATATACATAAAAGATTAAAAAGTTGGGGAACAGTATACTTCTTTCTCTTTCATGTTTTTGCCACCGAAGTTCTTCTTCTCTTTCAAACGCCACAATAGATCTTATTCTTCTCTTCCTTCTTATTTCATGTTTTGCCACCGAAGTTCTTCTTCTCTTTCAAACGCCACAGTAGATCTTATTCTTCTCTTCCTTCTTATCCCACTTTTCCCACCACCGCCTCTTCCACCCAATCAGATGTTGCACTGCCATGGACATCATTCATTATCTTTCTCCTGTGATTAGATCTATTCTCATTCTGAAGCTCCCTTTGTTGGATATCAGTCGATAACCCTGCCCTCCTTTCTTCTTGGCTCTGCTGCTTCACCTCCGCTTAGACCAACGGTAGATAATTGCTTTGATGGGTTCCGATTTTGATTGTTCTTTACAAAGATGGAGGCGATGATGAAATTTGTTTGTGAAAACAGTTTGCACCGACAACCATGGGTGAACTTGAAGGTCGTATTTTGGCAAGGCAACTCGGAAGGCATATCCGATTGAAATATGCAACCGGTGTTTGCAGCCATACCGTCTTTCATCCCCTTTTTCTGAGCCTCGTCTCATTGAAAATCACTGTTATGATTTCCGATTTTCAAATTTCTGGTGTTTCTTTGTTCGTGTTTGTCTGTACTTTTGGAGCAGGTTGGTTTGATTTCCCCCTGATTTCTAGGGTACATAGTCTTCTCTTCCTTCTTATCCCACTTTTCCCACCATTTAGTGGCGTTCCAAAATTATGTAGGTTGTAAGTTAAAAGACGATGGTGTGGCCGGAGGGCAGCAATGGCGACTGACCAACTGATGGAGGTCGCCTCTTCTGGTTCTTCACTTCTGCATCTCCATTGGCTTTTTTTAAGCTTTTAATGTAATAACTCTATTCTATCATATTCTTTCTTTTTTGTCTTTTTTTTCTCAATAAGAGCTAATTAATTTCGGGTTAAATAATGTTTTTTATTACACTTATGGATCGAGGACGCAGTGGCTAAGTAGAAGATAAAAACCTTGAATGGAAATAACTTTGTGTCTCTTTCAATCATAGGGTTATCTCGACCACCATTGCCCAGGTAACAAGTATTATAATGTGGAGGTTTTTGACAATTTTAATTCCTGTTGAAGAAAATCAGGGAACCAACATAACAGTCGGTGTGCGATTGAGGTAAGTAATTGTTCAATAGAGGCGAAATTGATGGTCTATTTTGCCCTACTGTGGAGTTTTGATCATGCCTACAACCTGTTTGATGAAATGTTTCAACTAATAACGCTCCATTTAGCAGATGTAAGTAGGTCCTTGATTTTCAATGTTATGGGATGGGAGGTAAGTTTGACATATTTCAGTCGATTATAGTATTCTTTTAGTTACTCACCATTTTCCCTTTTTGATTTTTATACAGAATGATGAGATGTTGAATTAATCTCATGGAGGTAGGAATTTGAATTTGTGATTTCTCATTTGTATTTATTATCTTTTATTTATTGTTATTATATTCAACGTGTATTTGGTTGGCTTGTGAGTCAGGGATGTATATGAATATGACCCTTTTACCCTTTGACTCATTTTACAGGTTTTGAAAGTTCTTTCAGCTTCTCCATCAACCTATTCTACTAACCCAAAGTCCAAGTTGTTAACTCTACCTTTTGTTTTTTTGACACCCATGTTTTCATCTTCACCGCCTTTGACCTCGCCTCTTTCTTCTTATCTCAATTTGCTTCCAGTTTCATCAGAGTTGTGTTTGTCGACGACCAATTGCACACGCCTTGGAGGAGCGATGGGCGTTCTTTTACTTTATCAGGCGGACTGAAAAGCGGTAAAGGGATCTGGACTCTAAGACACAAATATATTTTTGGGAGAAGAAGACGAACAGGGATTAGAGGGAGAAAGATGGAAGGAGACGGAGAATTGGTGCGAAGAAGAATCTTATCAGAAGTGGTTCAGTTGATGTTGTTGTGGTAGAGAGTGTAAGTAAGGTCTCTATTTTTATCAATACAAATTTTACCCAAAAAAAGAATCTTTTTTTAAACTTATGGGTTTGTTATGTAATATCAGGTTGTTGCCCTTGTGCCTAAATGTGAAGTTGATGGTGAAATGGGTGATGCACACATGGCAATGCGAGGTAGAATTATGAGTCAGGCACTTCGTAAATTAAGCCATTCATTATCTACATCACAAACTATTTTAATCTTCATTAATCAGGTACCAAAAAGTATATAAATTTTACCTGTTAGAGATAAAATATAGTCTGAATCAAGTAATTTTCAAATTTGACTTAGGTAAGGTCAAAGCTAGCTACTTTTGGATCTGGTGCACCCTCTGAAGTGACCTATTTGCCCTTCTTCTTTCTTTGTCCCATTTGATGAATGTTGTGAAATTTGTTTTTTGGAATGTACGGGTAAAATGGTCATTTATGTGTTGTACACAGACATTAGGAAGTCAAGTTCTGGTGAAGATTATGAAGAATAAGCTTGCATCACCTTATAGAACTGCTCAATTTGAGCTTGAATTTGGGAAGGGTATATGTCGTGAGTCAAAGCTTAGTGTTATTGTTGGGCTAGCCAATTGAAGTACTGCAAAAGTTGGAATAAACATGGGAAAATTAAAATTAAATGATAAATCGCCATTTTCTTTATAATAGCATATAAATTGCGACAAATACAGTTAAAATATATAACATGTACTGTTGAATATATTTATTACCTTATTAAATCATATGTTTACAATATCTTATAAACGGTCATTGGTTAATTAATTATGTTACGTAATATGTTATGATTTATATATATATTTTTAATTAAGTTAGTTAAATAACATTTATGATATTAAACTTAATATTCTTTTCAAAATCTCTTTATATATTAAATTTTTATAAATGTATGTATTACTTTATTCCAAATTTATACTTTAAGAGCTGTAATAGGGCTATAATAAATGGACCTCTTTTCCAACCGAGATATTATACGACTGATTTAGTGATTTAAGTATGTATAAATTCCAGATTTGTTGTGTAATGATTTGGGTGTTTGCATTTTTTAGGTTTTGTTGGTTTGTTTTCGATTAACTCAAAGAAAGACAAGATGGGTATTATGTTGTTGTTGGAGGAATTACTCCAACACCTCTTCGAGAAGGCAAGTCTACTACCAATGTTTGTAAACAATTTCAGTATTTTTTTAATTCATGACATTTTTGTACTTTTCTAATTATTTCAATTTCCAATAGAAAGCAGCGTTAACATCACAAATCATTAGGAAAACCAAATTTGGATCGCAGTTGAAAGAAACAATAAAATAACAGAAATGCCCTTGCTACAACATCATTAACCTATACATTCAAGAACACTTTAAAAGCCTTTTATTTCTTCTCCTTTTGATCTTCTTATTCCAACAAAAACCTTCCCATCAGATGTTAAGTTGATCAAAATAGTAATATCCTTCTTTAAACCACAAAAGACCAAATTGCCCTTTACCAATTTTACTGCGCCAATCCTAGGTAAAACCAAGCCACAATCTTATACTTTCATGTCTAGCATTATTTTTAGCCTCCAGAAAAATCAACATAAAATCACAGATCATAAGACACAAATAGACCAAAATGCCCCTGTTTTCTTATCCTGCACATCTTTTGCTAATGTACTTGTCTGATGTGATCATCTTTTGCTAATATAATCCTCGCTATGTAACCGATTTCAACCTCCGTTTCATATATGTAATGCCATTTCATCAATATTATTTTTAAGGTATCTTAGAACTCATAATTCTTGAATTTTGTTCTTATTAAGCCCTAAATTGATTTGGCATTTCGATTTGCTGTTGACTGCGATGGAATGTTGGCAAATATGGTGTGTATCTCATCTCCTTATTTCACAGTTTCAAGTTTTAGGGTTCACTTATAGATTGAAACATGTGAAAGTTTATATATAAATTACTGTAGCTTATGAATCATGATTCAAGAATCAATCTTTTTTACCTTCTGTTAACTTCTGATAGTTTAGATGATCATATTATTTTCTGAATATGTGTATGCAATTTTGTTTTTGTCAGCTGAAATCATAATTTAAGGCTTTGATGATTGGTATGAACTTACATAAATTACTTCAGTATAGTTGTGGTAGATGGGTTTTCATTTCCCATCTCTTAAATCAAAGATTACTAATTACATAATAATCAGTAATTGGCAATGGATATGAGAAATGTTCATGCTTGATCTTACAGGTTGTGGCAAGATTCTGAGAACAGAACATTATTATCTAATTTGCTCATTAAGAATTCTTCCCAGGTATGTTCTTATAACATACGACTCTTGATAATTCATAACGAATTGACACAATTTATTAAAAAAGATACCTTAATTACCTTCTATCGTTATTTTTTCTATGTTTCTGTGTTTTTTAAAAATTGCAGAGACCAAAGATTCTTACTGTTGAAGACAACCTAATGGTTGTAGGATGCAAGTAAATTTTGGGTCTTCCTATTTCTCTTTTGCATTATGTTGACCATGGGTGAACTTAAAGGCCGTATTTTGGCAAGGCAACTCGGAAGGCATATCCGATTGGAATATGCAACCAGTGTTTGCAGCCATACCGTCTTTCATCCCCTTTTCCCGAGCCTCGTCTCATTGAAAATCACTGTTATGATTTCCGATTTTTAAATTTCTGGTGTTTCTTTGTTCGTGTTTGTCTGTACTTTTGGAGCAGGATGGTTTGATTTCCCCCTGATTTCTTGGGCCCATAGTTCTAAGTTCTTAATTACCGATTGAGTTATGTAAATTCTATACTACCACTTTCAATCTCATTTATTTATGGTGTTATTGCTACTCTGTTAAAGGTATGTTCCATTAAGTCCTATGCAAATCTGTCATGCATTTTAATTCCATCACCACCCAACGGCGCAATGATTCCATTCTAGTTAGTATAAATTCACAAACTTCATTTTTCATAAAACCCTTCATTTCATTCTTTATTTATTTTTTTCAAGAGATAGCCGATTGAACGTTTTCTTTCTAAAACATACAAAAGATGCCTAAACATGTGTGACTTACATTTTGTTAATTAAAATTACCATATAATTGCAAAGGTGTTATTATTGGAAGGAAACATACTATTTATTCTAAAATTAATTACTTTTCGTTATGAACACTATAAAGGTGACACTTTGTCATTTAGTTGTTGATGTATTTAAAAGTAACAAAATATATTTTTTAAATGGTTATTATGAACATGCAAATTAACATAATTAAATAATAATCATTATTTTGGCCGAACGAAAGACATCGACAATAGAACCAAAATGATCATGTAAAGTATTTTTTAGGATTGTGGCCTTATAAAATATATTGGTTAAATGTAAGGTGTGTGTAGCGTAACAAGCTCCGATAAGACCTAACGCCAATGATGCGAGTTTCGTTTGAATCTTGTGGTTGCTTGCATGAAAAGTTATTTCTAAATTATTTGCAATTACATGTTATCGTTGTTATTGCTAGAAATACTTATGTGGACTTTTTCATGTAAAATGGTGAAAAGGGTGGTTGACACATGTATATGGAACAAGTGTATTAATTACACGGTCTCATTATTAGTTATTGTACAGGGTGTGATTATGTGGCGGATAGCTTAAGCTCTGATTAACTAGCCGTAAGCATATTTGTTGTGCCCGACGGAGGGACTCAATCCCTGAAAATGACAATAGTTCTCTAAGTGTGTCGCCAAGGGCGGAAAGAAAATGAAATAATTATATTGATAAATTGTTGCATTGGTTTTATTTATTGATGTCAATATGCATGAAAACCACGAACTCACTAGGCCCTAGGTTTACCTATTAGAAACTTTAAATGTACGCAACCCAGGAAATAACTTAGCGAGTGGCAGCAGGAAGGGAAAGGAGCAGACTCAGACTCGAAGACGACGACAAGTTTGAAGAAGACGTAACGCTCCAAGTGTTTATTTAAATTTCTATTTGCTTATGCTATTATTGATAATGATGATATTAGTATTTGGATTTTAGGATATTAGAGGTTACTGGGAGTTTGGGACCATGTTAAGATAGATTTGTATTTGTAATTTGGGGTCTTAATAAATTATGTTTGTTAAATGTGACTCGAGCATTTGGAGCATTCCTATGGAGCATTTGGAGCACTTGGAACTCATGAAGCATGTGACAAAGTAACGGGTCATCTGAGAAGGTAATGGATCGTCTGACAAAGGAACGGATCAAGTGCCAAAGGAACGGATCATATAGAAGGAGGTTTGGAGCACCTAGAAAGGGTTTGGAGCACTTGGGAGTGATATGGAGCAACAAAGGAACTTGTTGTGCTAAATGATGAAGTGTTGGTCCAAGAAGGATTTTGTTGTGCCGAGGGCATTCCTTCTTGTGCCAAGCATATCCCTCCTGCGCCATTGAGAGTCCCTTTTGCGCCATAAAGAAGCCTTGTTGTGCCAAGTAGGTTCTTGTTGCGCTAAGCATGTCCTTGTTTGCGCCAAGATGGTCCTTGTTGCACCAAGGTGATGATGTTGCTCCAACCTAGAAGTTCTTGCGCCACTCTTGATGCTTGTTGCGCATCCTTGCATATGTTGCGCCATCGTGGTTCAAGATGGGCCATTTTGGTTCCTTGATTAGCCATGGTATCCCTGATGAGCCAATTATGCTATGAAGTCCTCTATGGTGCTCAAAGATCGTTCAAGCATGCTTATAATTTGGTATTGCTCAAGGATTACACCATTTTGTGCCACCGTGATGGATGTTGGTCCATTAGTGTTCATGATGCGCCACTTATACATCATGATGCTCTACTATGGCACAAGGTGCTCTATCATCTGTGTTGCTGATGCTCATGGGTTGTATGACATGGAAGAATGTTATAAAAGATTTTTTATGGCGAAATATGATTGGTTGTCACCATTCATGGGCCTATGGGCCAATGGGCTTGGCCCATTAGGTTTTAGGTCTGATCCATCAAGTATAAAGAGGGATGCATGCAGAGTCATTTTAGGTTTCTTATGTCTTGTATCGTGTATCCTGAGTGAGTAGGACGAATCTCTGGTGAATTGTACTTGTAACAACTATTTGAGAACTCTGAAATAAAGAATACTCTCCTCCTGCCCGTGGACGTAGGTCACCTTGACCGAACCACGTAAATATTGTGTCTTTTTGTGCTTATAGTTTTGTTTGTTATCCACATTACTTCCTAACAAGGGTCATCAGAACTTGGCAAGTGGCATCATATTTGTTCTGAGTCTTGACAAGTATCGCCTGTTTTCCCTAACAAGTGGTATCTGAGTTGCGGTTGGTGTTCTGTTGATTGAATATGGCATCGTATAAGTTCGATTTGGAAAAGTTCAATGGTTCGAATGATTTGACTTTGTGGAAGATGAAGATGAAGGCTCTTTTGGTTCAAAAAGGATGTGCAGCAGAACTTAAAGGAGAAGCGAAACTGCCAAAGGACATGACGGCTGAAAGGAAGATGGATATTCTTGAAAAAGCGCATAGCGCTATTTTTTTGAGTTTGCCATACGAAGTACTGAGAGAGGTCGTGGATCAAACGAGTGCCGATGGGCTTTAGGAGAAATTATGTGACACGTATTAGAACAATTCTATGACGAACAGGCTATACCAGAAGCAACGTTTGTATACTCTTAGGATGTCGGAAAGCTCCCAAGTGAAGGATCATCTGGACAACTTCAATAGGATCATCTGGATAACTTCAATAGGAGCATCTTGGACTCACAAGGTGTGAATGTAAAGATTGAAGATGAAGATCAAGCACTTACCCTCTTATGTTCACTGCCGAATTCTTATGAGAATTTCGTTGATACCATGTCTTATGGTAGGACAACGATCACTATGAATGATGTGAAGGATTCTTTGTTGTCCAAGGAATTGAAAAGAAAAGTTTTGGTTGGAGAAGAAGTTTCTAGTTCCGGTTTGTTCGCAGTCAGAGGAAAAACATCTGTAACGTCCTAAAATGAAATGACATAAAATTTCCGTTTTAAAATTAATAAATCGTTAATACATACATATCATTTCCACAAACCAAGTTAATCGAGATTTATCAAAACATCATTAAATTAGAGTAATTTACGAAATGCGGAAACATGTGATGTGTGCCCTGCAATCATCCCAAGCTCTTCCTTTTGAAAGCGAAGTACCTGAAACATAAACTGAAAACTGTAAGCACAAAGCTTAGTGAGTTCCCCAAAATACCTCTTACCATACATAACAAAACATATAATGGGCCCCACCCGGTCATCAAGCAGAGCTCGGTAATAGATCGGGCCATGCCCGACATGCATATAACATATATCAATTAATCACATACACATACAACATAGATACATAGAATACAACCAGTCATCGGGACCCGCCCGACATCGGACCTTAGCCCGGAAAGCATATAAACACATACAAGTGCAAGAGTCACGAAGACATCTAGCATACTAACATAGCCTAAACATGGGTCGGCATTAGTGCCTTCGACCCGCTAAACCCAGTGAGAAAAATCACCTCGAATGCAGAAGCTCCCTGAAAGAAATCTCTAGCTGCTGCCCTGGCGACACCTCCGAACTATCAGATCAAAATAACACCCAATTAGCAATTGGGTCCCAAGCTATACTCCATAATTCATACCCGGGGTAAAATGACCATTTTACCCCTAACCCAACATGAACCAAAACTAGAGCCCAATACCATTAACCAAAAGATCCACAAAAGCCTGCTGATGGCCCAATTTTCCAAATTTGGCCCAATACCATATGGGTCTTTATCCTAAACCCATATTTTCATTTAATATAATTCAGATTATGTCAAACACCCGTTGGGACAAACTTGGTCAAAGGTATAAGTCAAAAGTCACGCTCCGAGTTGACTCAACTCGCTGAGTTGTTCCTCAACTCGTTGAGTCCCCCCATTAATCATCAGAATCGCGAAGAGTCACTCCAACTCGTCGAGTTCACCCAAACTCGCCGAGTTTCCTCTTTAGTCAGCAGAATCGGGAAAAATCATTCCAACTCGCTGAGTTCATCCATGAACTCGCCGAGTTCTTCAGCCAGCAAATCCTCTTAATCTATTATGTCACCATTCATGAAACTAAAAGCCCCACCACTCAGTCCTTACTTAAATAGCATCTAGAAGGGTAAAGTTTCCAACTTTACCCCTTAGGATCCATTCTAATGGGTAAAAACCCAAACCCTAGGCTTAAAAGGTTAAGGACTTAATCTATGACCACTTAATCATAAAGATAAGGCTTCGAATTGCAGATCTGGTCCCTTAAGGCTTAAATGATGAGTAAAGTCTCCAACTTTACTCTTATGCAAGGCTAGAAGAAGCTCAAAAGTTCAAAATAAGCTAGAAGAAAGTCTTAATGGATGCATGGAGCCCTTAAGACCATAAAGTTGGCACCTTTATGCCAAAAGAGCTCCCTAATGACATGGATCTGAAAACATCACCCCTTAGGATGTCTAATA